CCCCCCCCCGCGGACAGCCGACACGCCGACACTTACCTTAAGGCTTGAACGAGGTTCAGATCAGCAAACTCATGGAGTTCGACAAACGCTTGAAGAACTTTAATATTAAAGTCGTCCCTGGGAAAGAAAGCAAATGCGGTCCAAGGCCACTGCACAGAATTTCAATCATTTCAAAAGAAAGACCTTTCCTTTGTATAGCAAGTGTCTGTGGGTTTTTGTCTTGCAGAACTAGAAGTTCAGATCTGTTACACTGCACGTTCGTTTTCAGGCTTAGGACAAAGGAGACTCGGTAGGAGTTCGGAGTTTATCTCCCAGGCGGTGCCGGTCAGGGGACCGAGGCCGTCGAGGCCGTCGGAAGACCGCAGGCGGCTGGCACGAGCCCCGCGGCAGCTCCGAGCGCCAGGCGCGCGCTCCGCCTCCGCTCTCCCACCCAGCGGCCGCGGGCGGCGTTCCCACTTCGCAGGCGGGGCTGTGGGCGCCCGGCGCCGGGTCGCCAACCGGGGCAGTGCGGAAGAGCTTTTGAAACCAAACTAAATGCGAGAAGACAAAGGCCTCAACTTTTACATAAACGCAGAGGAGGACAACACGCTTCACTGGAGTTTGCCCAGGTCCTGGTCACAAGGCACAGTAAGGACAGCCCGAGCCAGCGAAACGCCGTGGTCACCACAGGTGCAGGCCACAACACAAGGCGACGCCAGTCCCTCAGCCTCCCAGGACCGCAGAGCAGACCAGGCCTCGCTAAAGACAAGGCTGCTGCCACCCCACAGGCCCGCCCTGCCCGCGCACGATCCATCAACCACGAGGAACGGCCACGGCTCAGCGCCACCTGCAAAGGGACCCCCGTCCGCGGGGCTGCAAGGATGAACACGGCCTCGGGAAGGGGCACAGGCACAGAGCACACGTCACGACGTTCCCCTCCTTTCTCTGGGGCGAGCTGCCGTCTGAGGCCTTGGGGGTCCGCGCAGATGTGGGTGTTGGGGGGGGGCGCCCCAGGAGGCGGCGAGCACCCGGCCCGTCTCAGGCAGGCAGCAGCGAAGACCGGGGAGCAGGCCCGACACCGTGCTGAGCACCCAAGCCGTGGCAGCAGCCGCCGGGTTAGAGCCACGGGGGTCGGCATGAAAGGCAAGCGCCCACCGTCCCAGCCCCAGCGGTGCAGGTAGCCTGGCTGAGAGGGCTCGCCGAGCGCGGGGTGCGGAGCTGGCCCCTTCCTGGGCTCAGGTGCACAGGCTGCAGCTGGTGTGAGGACCCCAAGGCGGGACCAGAGAGGGCAAGTGATCAGAGGGGCGGCTGCACCCCCACTCCCGCTGCCAGCCTGGCCCCCCTGCAGGGGGGCCCCTGAGGCTTGGTCCTCGGTCCACACTTCCCCTCCAGCCACACTCACCTGTGATGCAAACAGCACCTGGGAGCCTGCCTCCTGCCGGACCCCTCTCTGAACCATCACACCTGGATGTCCCCCCCCAAGTCCCCACGGCTTTGAGCTGTGAATCAGACCACGTCCTTCCCCGACTGGGAAGCTTCCCCCGCCCCCAGCAACGGGCAGAGGGGCCCGTCGTCACCCTGAGAGCCTCTGCTGCCCTCCCCTCCCCGCCGCTCCAGCCACACTGCCCCCAACACACTGACCCTCTTGCCTGTCCTGCTCTCCCCAACACCGGCCTGCAGAGCACCTTCGTCCCCCTCACATCCTTGCACTTTCTCAATGACACAACCCTGACCAGCCTAGCCTAACTGCTAACCGCAGCTCACCCAACGCCCTTACGCGCTTCCACTTCTTTGCCCCGACACCTTCTAACATAGGGGGGACATGGTTTTCACATTTACTATGCTTATTACATATTGCCTGTATCGGTCCGGCAGAGGACAGCTCCACGAGCGGGTGAGTCCAGCTTTATTTTTTTCTTTTTTAAACAACACAACCCATGTGCCTCAAACAGAGCCTGGCACAGACTTGGAACTTGGTATTTTCTGGAACTCAAAACCTGCAGGCACGCGGTACTTGTCGACCGCAGGAGCCGCCAGGCCGCGTATGACACAAACGAGATCGTTCATCTCGCACCTGCCGCACAACCACGCAACGATGGCGGACTCGGACTCTGGCCCTCGCGGCACAGGCGGTTCATGAGGTGCTGCTGCCCCTGGGCCACCGCTCAGGTTTTTTGTGGGGTGTGTTGTTTTGCTGTTTTTTTGTTTTTAGCTTTGTTCAAACGCAATTCACGTTCCACACAACTGTCCTATTTCAAGTGTACCATTCAATGGCTTGTAATTTATCTGCAGACCTGTGGAACCATCACCACAATCAGTTTCTCAACACTTTCATTACCCCCAAAAGAAACGCCATCTCCCAATCTGCCAGCCCCAGGCAACCAGTCGGCCTTCTGTCTCCCTAAGTTCACCTATCCCGAGCACTCTGCATAAAGGGAGTCACCCAACACGCGGCAGCATGCAGCAGCACCCTACTCCTTGTGGGCAATAAACAGTCCATCGTCGGGATGAACCACATCTTGACCATCCACCAGCTGAGGGACATCCGAGCCGATGGACATCGGAACTGCTTCCACCTTTCGGCTACCGAGAACCACGTGGCTACAAACATTTGTGAGTGTGTGTGCAGATGTACGTTTTTACTGCTCTTGGGTGAACACCTAGGAGTAGAATTACTGGGTCGTATTCTGAAGACCGGCCAACTACTTCCCACAGCCACGGCACCTCCCATCCTACCAGCAGGACATGAGGGCTCTGATTTTCCCACATCCTGGGCAACGCTTATTATCTTTTTATTTTTATTACAAACATCCTAGTGGTTGTGAAGTGGTAGCTCACTGTGGTTTTGATCTGCAGCTCCCTGATGGGGGCTAAGGATGCTGAACATCCAGTTGTGTGCTTATGGCCCTATCACATATTTATGGATCTTCTTTGGAGAAATGTCCATTCAGATGCTTTGTTCATTTTATAATTAAGCTGTCGTATTATTGAGTGGTAAGAGTTCTTCATATATTCTAGATAGAAGTCCTTATTAGATTTATATGTGACTTGTAAAAATTTCTCCTAGTCTGTGGATTGCCTCTTCACCTTCTTAATGATGTCCTTCTCAACACAAAAGTTTTTGATTTTGACCATGTCCCGTTTACCTATGTTTTTCTTTTGCTGTTTGTTTTTGGTGTCACATCTAAGAAACTCTTGCCTAATCCAAGGTCACAAAGATCTACCCCTATGTTTTCTTCTAAGTGTTTTATAGTTTTCCTTCTCACATGTAGGTATTTGATCCAGTTTAATTTTTGCGTACCCTGAGTGGTCCAATGGTATTCTTTTGCATGTGGATATCCAGGTGTCCCAGACCATTCGTTGAAAGGCTGTTCTTTCCCCCACTAAACTGTCCCGACACCCTCATCGAAAATCACGTGACAATAAACACAAGGGTTTATTTCTAGATTCTCCATTCTACTCCATGATCTAGAAGTCTACCCTTACACCAGTACCACACTATCTTGATTACTGTTTTTAGTCTGTCTTATATGTGAGTTCTGCAACTTTGTTCTTCTTTTCCAAGATTGTGGCTATTTTGGATCCCATGATATTCTACATTAATTTTAGCATGAGTCTGTCAACTTCTACAAATAAGTTAGCTGGGATTTTGATAGGGAATGAGTTAAGTCTGTAGATCAAAGTTCCACTCCACGAACATGGGATATCTTTCCATTTACGTAGGTCTTTTCATTTTTTTCTTTTTTATTTATTTATTTATTTGACAGAGAGACACAGCGAGAGAGGGAACACAAGCAGGGGGAGTGGGAGAGGGAGAAGCAGGCTCCCCGCGGAGCAGGGAGCCCGTTGCGGGGCTCGATCCCAGGACCCTGGGACCATGACCTGAGCCGAAGGCAGTTGCTTAACAGCTGAGCCACCCAGGCGCCCTTTTCATTTTTTTCAAAGTTTTGTAATTCAAAGTAAATATTTTGTACTTCTTTTATTAAATTTATTCCCAAGTATTTTATTCCTTTTCATGCTATTATAAAATGGAGCTGTTTTTCTTAGTATCTTTTCCAAGCTTGCTCATTGCTACCATTTAAAAGTACAACTGAATTTTACATATTGATCTTGTATCCTGCAGCCTTACTGAACTTGTTTATTAGTTCTAATGCTTTTAGTGATTCTTCAGGATTTTCTACATACACAATTCTGTCTTCTGCAAACAAAGTTTTATTTCTTCCTTTCCAAACTAGATGCTTTTAATTTCATTTTCTTGCCCTAGAACTGCCAGTACCATGTTGAAGAGAAGTGGTGAGAGCAGTCAACCTTATCTTGTTCTTGCTCTTAGAAGAAAGCATAAAGTCAATTGTGGGTTTCACAGGTGCCCTGCATCATATTGAGGAAGTTCCCTTCTTTTCCTGGTTTGTTGAACGCTTTTGTCTTGAAGCAGTGAATGTTGTCAAAAGCCTTTCCAACATCTATTGGGATGATCGTGTGGGTTTTGCTCTTTATTATATTGATACTGTATATTACTTTGACTTTTGTACGCTGAACTAACCTTGTATTCATGGGATAATGAATGCATGCATGGGGTGAATGTATTGGTGTATAGTCATTTTTAAATATTGCTAGATTTGATTTACCAATATTTAGTTGAGGATTTTTGCTTCAGTGGTCATGGGAGGTACTGCTCTGCAGGATTTTTTGTTTTTGTTTTTTAATTGTGATATCTCTGGTTTTGGCATCAGGTAGTACTGGCCACACAGAATGAGTTAGGAAGTGTCTGCTTTCCACCTTTGATCAATTATTTTTAATAAAGGCTAGAAACAGAAACCACCCCGGATGAGCAACTGCTGGGCTCTTATTTAAAAACACTCTTGTTTGATCTTTGACTCAGGGGATGTGCTGCCTTAGATTCCTGCCCTAACCTCTGCTAAGCACAGCAAATGGACCCTTAATTAGAGAAGGCTGGGAATGTAAATCTGTCCAGTGCTCTCCATTTAAAAAATTAATAACTTCCCACCTTCACTCATATCCCCAAGCAACAGGGGGAAGAAAACCACTGAGAAATCTGGTCTCTTTCTGGGCAAAACATGAAAAGAAGATTAAGATGCTTTCTGAGGGGGCACCTGGGTGACTCAGTTGGTTCAACATCCAACTCGATTTCAGCTCAGGTCATGATCTCAGGGTCATGAGATCAAGCCCTGTGTCAGGCTCTGTGCTCAGTGGAGAGTCTGCTTGAGATTCTCTCTCCCTCTTCCTCTGCCCCTACCCCCTTGCACGTGCTCGCAAGCGCATACCCTCTCTCTCTCAAATAAATAATCTTAGAAAAAAAAAAAAAGATGCTTTCTGAGGTACAGAGAAGAGGCAGCACCAGTTTCAGTTCTGCCATGGTTCCCTGAGTAAAGGTTTCCAGAGATCACAGACCCTACCTGGCCCCAGAGCACCCACACCTCTCTCCCCGCAAGGGCAGGGAAAGCATGTGACTGCGCTGGGCCAACGCAGTTGTGGGGAGCAGCACGTGCGCCTTACGCCCACGCGCAACTGTGACAGACCCTGATGGGGAGGGCGGGCCCAGGCCAGGCTGCTGGTTCTCCTTCAACTTACCTTTCACCTAGATAGTCCCCAATTACGGTCTTATTTAGGCCTTCTCCTTTATACAGGAACTGGGCTACGTCTTCTGGGGAGTTCTGCAGCAAGTCATTTTCTATTAGAAACTGAATTCCCTGAAGAGGGACATAAGAAAGGAAGCTCTGGTTAGGAGGGTCGCCCAGACTCCCTTTTCAAAGACAGAAATACATCTAGAGTAATGATCTTAATGGCTGGGACATGGCAAAAATACCAGGACAATCTGATTCTCACACCCCAGACTACATTTTTTTGCCCACCAGAGGAAAGCACATTCATTCTTCCTGGCAATTTAACAGGCTAAAAGACAAACGGGTTACCGAACAAACCATTACAAAGAAGGTACTAGAGATCATAAAAGCAGAGGTAATAACAACACCGAATTTCCCCAGCTCGGGAGAACGATCTGCTGTGTGTGCGAGAGTAACATGCCCTTTGGGGTTGGCCAATCCACGCCCTCCCCGAGCTCCCCTCTTTCCTTGCCATGCCTCGCTAAGTAATCATGTTCCCAGCTTCCCTTGCAACTAGGAATGACCTTGTGACCCGGATCTGGTCACAGAAAGAAGTCCAGAGGGAGGACCTGGGGAAGCTTTCTTGACCAAAAGGACTCGTGAGCAGCTCCTTCTCCCTCCTTCCTGCCTGGAATGCAGATGTGATGACCGGCGCCCTCACGGCCAATGGATGAGGGAAAGGCCGGGATGAACACAGGGCTGGGGTCCTGTTACTTGGGAGCCACTGGGGCCCCTGCAGCCACCCCTGCCCTGGGAGAACATAGTCGCCGTGCAAGCCGTCCTCACAAGGCCTTCTGTGAGCTGCAGCTGAACACGGTAACGCATCTCTGTGCCACCGAGCTGAAGCTGGTGAAAATCCACACCCGCTTGAGGGCCCTCAAGGGCACAGGTGACAATTTCTAAATGAAAGGCTGCAGAGGCGCTGCCCTGGCCCGAAGCAGCCCTGCTCCTCTCCTGAGAAGCCCTAAGAATAGCGAAAATGTAGCTCTGACACAGCTTCTGAGCTGGTTTCCAACACAGGCTGACAAAGCTGGTAAGGGAATTCTGTCCTCTATTTGCCTCTCCTTCTACAAATTCGGAGATGATTTTCCAGCTACTACTCTCTGTGCCCCTCCCTCACACCACACGGTCCCTCCGAGTCTTTGCTCTTTTTTTTCCAAACACGTGAATGTCCACAGCAGCCTTATTTAGAATTTCCCCCAAACTGGAAACAACCCAACAACATCCAACCAATAAGAGAAGAGATAAATCCTATTCTGGTATATTCCATACGATGGAACACTATGCAGCAACGAGAATAAACGCACAGCGACATCGATGCATCTGACAGATGTGACACGGAATAAAAGGACGACACGGAATGTACCTTATTTATATTTACAGTTTTACAACAGGCAGCCCCGCTCTACGGTGACGGGGTGGAATTTGTTCGCTAGGAGGAGACACCAGAGAGACACTCCTGATGCCCCACCACCGCATCTTGCTCTGGGTTACACAAGGATTTTAGTGTGTAAAAATTCGTCACGCTGTGCAAAGTTTGTGCACCATATGCTGTTCTTCAAAAAATAAAAAAGTTTACCAAAAAATCAGTATGTCTGACGATCCTAAATTAACTCTCATCTATTTCTGGTGGGAGCTCAAGTGAGTCCAGGCCCCCCGGGGATCATCTTCTAGAAGGAACGACGTGCACATACCCTAAGGAAGCACTCCGATCCCGAGTACGCACCTGTCCAGCAAGGCCCCAGAAACCAGGCGAGGGACAAGAGTGCTGGTGCCGTTCCCACCCAGCACCCAGGGCTCTGTGCGGGAGGGGAGCTCTGGGCAGCAGGGCCGACTTTACAGTCTGACCTAACATCCCTGGCCGAGAGGTCAGAGGCCAAAGAGGCCCTGGTCTGCCTCTCTCGACTCTGTGTCCCAAGGACTCACAGACTGGCTGTGGGTGGAACTGGTAGATCCTGCTGCACCACCACCCCCAAATTGCAAGGGACAGGAGAGAGAGTTTCCAAAGGAGCCCGAGGTCCTGGAGCCAAGGGCCTGGCGGAAGCAGGTGCTCCCTGGGGGATGGGTGCCTGGCTGGCAGCTGGGGTGACATCGCTGGACTGTGATACTGGTTGGCAGAGGACAGGGGGGAAGGAGGGGGAGGAACTGCAGCTGCAGGCTGTCTTGCCCTGTGGCCCATCTCCTGCTGTGCACCGTGGGGGGTGGGGGTGGGAGCCGTGGCTTTGACAGAGTCTTGCATCCATCCCACCCTGGCCCCGTGTTCTCTCCAGCCTCCCAGCGCTCTCTGGAGTCCCTAAGCCTGGCAATTTCCACATTCACAATGTTCCAGGCACTCCATCAGCCAACACCCTGCCGGGAACTGAACGGACCTGGGGATGAGGCTCTCCTGAGCTCTGGATGCTCACAACCTGCTCTAAAATTCAAACACTCAGGAGCTCCTTGGGGAGGCTACGCAACAGCCTGAAAAACCAGGATTTGAGAATAGCAAGTAGGCCCAGCCCAAGGTCATCTCTTCTGTGCTTCAAGGTTACAGAAGGCAGCCAGAGGAGCCCCAAGTCAAGTTCCAGCTCCCTTTGCAAAAGGTACCAGAGGGGCGCCTGGGTGGCTCAGTCGTTAAGCGTCTGCCTTCGGCTCAGGTCTTGATCCCAGGGTCCTGGGATCGAGTCCCGCATCGGGATTCCTGCTCGGTGGGAAGCTTCCTTCTCCCTCTCCCACTCCCCCTGCTTGTGTTCCTCTCTCACTGTGTCTCTGTCAAATAAATAAATAAAATAAAATAAAATAAAAGGTACCAGAAAACACAGTGCCATGGGGGTGAGCCCAGGCCAGCCACCAGAAAAGAAAATGGAGCCAAAAGCCAGAGTCAAAGAGAGCAGTTATGAAGCAGAACGGGACTGTGTTGGGGAGGTGAAGCAAAGAGGCAGAAGCAGAGGAGGAGGGCACGGAAGCCGCTGACATGCATCCCCGTCCATGTGACAAGCAGGCTGAGAGCAGAGCGGTGGGTCCACAGGCCGGGGAACAGTAGGGATGGCCGGCAGCCACGGCAAGCTGGGAGGGAGGCCCAGAGCGCACTCTCCACCAGAGCTTCGCGAAGGAACGGACCCTGCCCACACCTGCATCTCAGGCTTCTGGCCCCGGGGCCTGTGAGACAACACACCCCTGTTGTTTCAGGCCACCGAGTCTGTGGTCATTACAGCGGCCCGGGACCCGAGTACACTAGGTAAATGCTAATAAATGTTCCAGTATTATTAGACAATGTCTATGTTTTAAAATATCATTTAGAGGCAATGCCTGGGTGGCTCAGTCGGTTAAGCATCTGCCTTCGACTCAGGTCATGATCCCAGGGTCCTGGGATCGAGCCCCAGGTCGGGCTCCCTGCTCAGTGGGGAGCCTGCTTCTCTCCCTCTACCCTTTCCCCTCCCTACCCCCCTGCTTGTGATCTCCCTCTCCCTCTCTCAAATAAATAAACAAAATCTTTTTAAAAATATCATTTAGAAAATCAAACAGTAGAATCTACTGGAAGAGGGCACCATTCAACCCATTACACCTCGTGTATCTTTTCCTATTTCCTTGTTTTCAACCTTGGTGCTCTGTTCCAGGTGTGTGTCTCAGTCAGAACACATCTGGACTTTATTGTTGTTTCTTCAAACTAATGTGAAGGTGCCTTTTAAGAGGTAACTGAGCCCAATCAAATTTATGGTCATTATGAACTTGTTACCACTCATTTCCTGAGCCTTCACATACGCTGGGTATTTCTCATATCTTTTCAGCCTTCTGTTGAATTAAGTTTTCTTTATTCAATTTTTCCTAGTAATTTAGAAATCCTATCTTATCCCTATTTTTAGTGGTTACTCTTAAAATTTTAACACTTAGGGGCGCCTGGGTGGCTCAGTCGGTTAAGCGTCTGCCTTCAGCTCAGGTCATGATCCCAGGGTCCTGGGATCGAGTCCCGCATCGGGCTCCCTGCTCAACGGGGAGTCTGCTTCTCCCTCTCCCTCTCCCACTCCCCCTGCTTGTGCTCACTCGCTCTCTCTGACAAATAAATAAATCTTTAAAAAACAAAATAAAATTTTAATATTTCAACTTACATTCATCCATGAACATCTTGAAAACCTTAGCCAACGTTGACTTCCCTGCTTCCCTTGTCCCGTGCTACTTACACACAGCTGATCTTGAACAATGCAGGGGTTATGGGCTCCCATACCACCCCCTAGTCGAAAATCTGCACGTAACTTTTGACTCCCCAAAAATCTAACTACTAGTAGCCTACTGTTGACCAGAAGCCTTACCCATGGCAGTCAATTAACACATTTCATATGTTATATACTGTATTCTTACAATAGCATCACAATATTACAGTAACATTATGATAGTAAGCTGGAGAAAACAAAATGTTACTAAGAAAGCTGTAAGGAAGAGAAATACATTTCCAGTACTGTACTGTATGTACTAAAAAAAAAAATTCCACCTTCCCAGCTCAAACCCAGTGCTGCTCAGGGGTCACCTGTATTGAGGTAATCTGGGACTTTGATTTTTAAAACATTCCTTCAACAATCAAGCTCTCATTTAGACTTAACCGTATGTTTAGCTGGTTTCTTCGAGTCTCTCCCGTTTTATCCCGCATCCTGGATCCGTGTCCTGTTTATAGACGCACTGCTCCAACCACAATTTCTAGAGCTCACGGAACGTGTTAGCAGTTCCTTTTGTGAGTCCTTGCACATCTGAATGTCTTCACTTGCCTCCTCATATGGGTCAGAATGCTAGGTTTTATTATTTTTATTTTATTTGGTTTTCTGCGGGTCTATACTGGCCTCCCCAGAGCTCTAGGTTTTAAATCACGTTTCCTCGGACCTTGGAAAGTTTCCCTGCTGTGTTTGATCCAGTGTTCCTGTTGTGATTCTGGTTTCTTCTTAGATAATCTGGTCTTTCCTTCCTGGAAAGTCAGTGAATTTCTCTTTATCCATAAGTTTTCTGGCATTTTACTTGATATTTCTATGGATCAGTGTCTGAAAAATTTTATCCTGCTTGGCATTTGGTGAGCCCTTTGATTTTGAGTATTTTATCTTAATCTAGCTCTGAAATATTCCAGTATTTCTTTGACATACATCCTCCACTCTGTCTTCTACTCTCTCCTCCTGGGACTTGTTCGATGAAATCTGAGCCACCAGACCTGCCTCCCGCCTCTCGCGGTTCTGCGTAGAGCGATGGAGAACAGGAGCACCACGATCCGCCTTGCCCGTGTCCCCGCCCCAGCCTCGGGCTGTGGGTTTTCAGAGGGCGTTGGTTCTTCACTTCCACAGACCTTTTCCACAACTCCCCATTTTTTGCACCAAGGATAAGCCAACACCCCATCATCTCTGATGAGATTTATAATATACAAAACATCCTACCTTTAATGTTTCCTCCTGTGTTAGTTCTGTTTGTGGTGTTTCACATCTCTTTCATGGGGTCAAGCAGCTCATACATTTGGTGATTCCCGGTTGGGTGATGACCTTTGTATTTCAGAATTTCTGGTAGCCCAACTGAACGCCATTTGTTTCTGGAGCAGATGACGCGGCCAGCTGGGGGGCTCAGAAGCTGGTCTCTGGGAGCGGGTTTTTCTCCTCCTCTTCGTCAGTGAGGCCAGTGGAGAAGAGACACCTGCGTCTCCCACCTGGGGGCACACACCACTGCTCGGCGCAAGCTCAGCCAAGGGTGAACCATCTGGAGGCTCCCTCCCCGATCCCACATCTGCTGCCCCAGTGAGCCGAGCCCCTGACGTGGCTCTCCCATCCCAGAGCAAATCTTTCCCAAGTGTGCTTCGGGCTACCGCTCATCTTTTATCTTTCAGGGTTCCCTCAATTTCTAGTCGACTGAGCGAACTCCTGCTTGTTACAGATTCTTATGTTATATTTTTAAAGGCATTTCTAGGAAACTGGGAATAAAAGAGAGAGCCTGTAGAATGTTTCCTGCTTCCTTGATCGAATCAACCTTTCCTCTTACTCATTTCTAACCCCAAGCGCTGCCTCTGTGTATCTAATGTACCTGCAGAAACAGAAGCTCCCGCTCAAAATGTCACCACTCTGTGACTTATTTCCTGCTAGCCTGAAAGTCTCTGATGCAAGCCTGTTTCACAACACCGCGTGTGAGATCACCCAGGGCTGTTTTGGACTGAATGTCTGAGTCTCCCGAAGATCCCTATCTTGAAGCTCTAGCCCCCAGTGTGATGGTGTTCAGAGGTGGGGTCCTGGGAGGCAGGGTCAGACGAGGTCATGTGGGCGGGGCTCTGATTTGAGGGAACCCTTGCCCTTTTAAGAAGAGACACCAGGGGGCGCTCTCAGCTTCTTCTGGGCCCTTTGGGGACACAGTGAGGCCGCGGCCACCTGTAAGTGGGGAAGACAGCTCTCACAGAACCCAGTCATGCTGGCAGCCTGACCTTGGACTTCCAGCCTCCAGAACGGTGAACAAGTAAATGTCTATTGTTTAGGCCACCAGTCCACGGTATTTTGTTATGGTGGCCCAAGCGGACTCCAACGGGTGCTATAATCGTCTATAAGACAAGGGAATTCTCATTATCTTTCCCCAGCAAAGGGCCACATGCAGACTAAATTTACCATAATTACAAACAAGTTGTTGGGTAGCACCAATAATTAATACCTTAAAAATCTCTCAGGTGGAGAGGCATCTAGGCAAAATGAGGCCTGTAGGGCAGCCGGCCACAGCCCAGGCAAAGCAGATAAAGCAGCTGCTTCCTCGGACTTGGAGGTGGAGACACTCCACAGGGCTGGACTCCCGGGGCGGCCAACAGACCAACCCCAGGCTCCCACGGGAGCCCAGTGAGGTGCGGTGGTCACAGGCCCGAGTCTGAGGTGGATTCCTCGCTCAGGACGCTGGGCACATCTCAGCGGCTCTGTGCCTCATTTCCCCCGACTGCACCACAGGCATTGAAAGGGAACCCACCCCGTAAGGTTAAGTGTACTAATTACAGTGCTTCGTTAGCAGTTCCTGATGCGTGGCAAGTTCTCAGGAAGCGTGAGTCAGCCCTCATGGCTGCACATCGGACACCTGGTGTGCGCAGAACAAGAGGACAGGCTAGAGCCGGGCGGAGGGACAGCACCACTGGGCCACCAGAGTGTGTGTGTGCGCTTCGTGGGGAGGACGTGGACTCATCCCCGGACTTGTGGGCATGCTGTCCTGCGCTGCACCTTAAAACATAAGGTCTGGTTTTCAAAACAGCCACTCGTGAGGTATCTTTGAAGATGCTGCCAATGCTTATCAAATCTGCTGGTTAAGCCAACTCTGCAAATTCAACTCAAGAAAGGAAAAAAAACGACAAAAAACGCTTCTAGCTCCAAACCTCAAGCCATTACCAAATTCACAAAACCATTCCCGGACACAGCTGCATTCCACTTTGGGGCTGGCGGATGCCCCCTAAGCAGAAAATCGGGAAGCAACAGGAAACTTTTCGCAGAGGTGGGAGTACTCCAGCTAAACAAAGACCCTCCTCCGGCGGCAGCTGTGGTGAGGCTGAGGAGAATCCACACTTGCAAGCCATTTCTTTACGTTTTGCAACTGTGCTTGCACCTAGAAATGCAAGTTTACAGGCGCCTGGGTGGCTCAGATGGTTAAGCGACTGCCTTCGGCTCAGGTCATGATCCCAGGGTCCTGGGATCGAGTCCCGCATCGGGCTCCCGGCTCAGCAGGGAGCCTGCTTCTCCCTCTGACCCTCTCCCCTCTCATGCTGTTTCTCGCTCGCTCGCTCTCTAAAAAATAAATAAAATCTTTAAAAAAAAAAAAAGAAATGCAAGTTTACAGATCTTAGACCTTGCACAGTGCAATTCTTGCTATCAACACTTACTGAATGAACAAATCATTAATTAGCACAGAGGCTCAATGCCAAAAATAAATAAATAAAATCCTAAGGAAGGTGTGTGATGTGAATGCCACCTAAAGATCACTGTAGAATGAAGTCAGCTCCGCAGTTAGAAGCTTCTGGGGACACGGTGTTCCTCTCCAGGACCTCAAGCCCTGGTGGCTAACTCAGATCCACTCTGCTGTCTCAAAACCTAACGGTCTTGCAGCTGAGCCATGTTCCACAAAGTGTTTACAGGTTCTGCTAAGTCTTCTGGTTCAACCTCATAGACAAGTAGCTGCATGTTGCAGGTTTCCTTATTTTCGGGTGTTTTCCTAGAAAATCCAACTGGAGGAAAAGACCCGGTATTGCCTTCAATCAGGAGAGCTCCCGGTCCTTCATGCAGACGTCTTCTCTGGAAGGTGAATGGGAGGAACAAAGTCCCCAGACTTGAGCCATTTAACCCCCCAGCAGACACCCAGGGTGCAGCCCTGCCCACCAGCTCCCCGGGCTGTGGGCCATGCCACAGCGGGAGGACACACCGCTCGGCCTGGCCCCGCCGAGGGCCTGTCCACACCAGCCGCTGCCGGGGCGGGGAGGCCTCACCCAGAGCCTCACACGCAAGAAAAGGTCTTCGGGTCCAGAGATGAGGCCCACGGGCACTTGTGCTTCACCCCACTCCCTGGCAGCCCCTACATGATACAGATTTAACTTCCACTCTCAGTACCTGTGAGGGGGTATGACCGACCACCTTTGTCCAAAATGAGAGAGCCAATCAAACCGGTGAATCCCACAATCTCTCGCAGGCCAGAACACTGGAACGTTGGCTTACCTTTTTGGGATCCATGTTGAATTTCTTCCTCCCCATAGCTATCTGCTTGTTCCTCTGGGTAGTTTTGCTATGCATTTCAAACAGTTAAATCATTAGCAAATGTTTGCACCAACTGCAAGAGGGCCGGCAGTCTCCCCAGCACTTCAGCCAGCAC